CGCCAGGGAAGGGATTGCTGTACCCTTCTCGCGACATAAATATCTCAGGTAGGAACCGCAGGAGGGGGTCCACCCCCCCCCCCATGTGACCCCGGTAGGGTCGTCTAGCCAATAGAAGTGGAGGATGGGGGCCAGAGCGGCAGACGATAGAGTTAGAGTCCAATGATGGGAGAAAAAAGAAAAGAAAAAACATCCGCCCTCTGCTACAAGGAGGTATCTACATCAATCATCATCAGTACCAGCAGTATATATACCGCCATCAGATGATCGGCACCTATAAGCGCTTCCGCCGGCGTAAATGAACAAATATCTACATACAAGAGCCCATCAGGCAGCGCGGTGTGGAAAGGGACAACAGCACAGCGGCAAACAGCACCCAACCAATCAACTGTATGTACTTAACTAAGCCGTTTTACAAATAGAATTTTTCAAGGTGTCACTAAAAAATGAGTCGGGCCAAAGGCAGGGGTTTTTCGTACCTTGCGGAACGCTTCCACCCAGGCATAGGTGAACACAGCAGCAAACCCCACAACAAGGCCGAGCAGGAGGAGGTTGCACCACTCCTGAGCTTGTCGGGAATTCATCCAGGCGCGACCGTATCTCCCGCCCCCAAACCTGCCGCCTTGCTCGGCCTCCGCATGCGGTGCTGCTTCGTCCTCGTCCTCTCGTGAAGACTCTCCGATACCCCCGCCTTGCCCCTGTCGCTCCTCCTCCTGTGGTCGTCCCTCTCCGCTCTCGGCTACTCCTCCTCCCTCTTCCCCCCTCTCCATCGCTGCGGCATCCTCATTGCTTCGACTCCGCAAGCCTAGCATAGCGTTCCCTACAGCAGCAGTTTCTGCGATCTCCGTCGTCGTGACCTACCTGTGCTCATTCCCTAACAACGGACGCCAGTCAGTCGGTACAGCAGTGTGCGACAGCAGTACACAGAGGCGTGGCTGCAGCGTGCACCCACCAACGTTGGTCCCTTGGTTGCTACTGCCGGATGGCGTCTTCATGCTGCTTGACGATGGGATGCAGTTGCGGTGTGCGTACTCATCCGGAACACAAGGCATTCTGGATGCGGTGGTATCCAATGACGACAGCTGGAAACATCGCAGTTGTTGTCTATCAGAGGACGAGGGGATACGAGCGGACCATCAAGATCAAGATTGGATCTTTCCGTCCTCTGAAATACTGCTCCATTTCCTACGTGTCATTCTACCGCCGATCGAAGGGTCGTTTGAAAATGTCCCGTCGGGCAAGGGGCGGGGTATAAGGGAAGCCGGAAGAAGAACAGCTGTTGGACCCGTAGTATCATCTGTGCGGTTCGAGGCTTTACTCAATCAATCACTCATGGACGTGCTGCTCCCTGACTTTTTTTTGTACCTCGTGCCGACTATTTTTCCGGTGGCGTCCAGAGGGGCCGGAGAGAGAGAATGCACGGCCGCTTGTTGTTGTTTGTATACTCCAGGATATATGTGGTTGATGGTATATACATATGATAGCGGTTTTAGAACAACAGCAGGCAACCTCACTCGTCGCGGACGCCCAGCTGCTGCAGCTGTCCAGGCGATCGCGTGCACGGGATGTTGAAAATATACATACATACGTATACTCTATTGTATGCTGTACTTTCTCGGCGGGGGCAAACACACATAAAATTTTAAATATGGTACGCCCTACTGCGGTGGTGGACGAAATAACAAAATACCGTAGTACAATAATATCTGATTCATCATGATGACCACCCAGCCACCACCACCCAGCCAGCCAACACCTACGGAGCGTACGCAAGAAGAAGAGGATAATTTTTGGTACCCCCACAGGTAATACGTTGTGGAAAACGGTCGATGCCGGGCACGGCCCGCCCCCCCCCCACCACCTCCGCAGGGAAGGTACATACAGCAGCTGTAGGGTCTTCTTTCCATCACACTCTACTTCATCATCATCATCATCTATCTGACAATAAATGACACGTACACATACATAGATAGTCTACAGATGTACGGTCTCCACAAGAGATTGCACAAGTACGCATAAACTACCGAAGGCACCCGTGTAGTGAAGCAGCAGCAGCAGCCGTTTCGCATGATGAATGAATAATAGTACAAACAAACCTTTTTCTTTATATTTTTATACCGAGGGTAGACGACGACAGCATTGCCTGTCTCTCTGTCATTGATTGAGCGTTTTTAGGGGCTCGCCGACCACAGCTAAATTGTAGCTGTGGAATGCATGCTTGCCACCCGTCACAGCAGGAAGAGTCTAACAACTCGTTTCTGCATCAATGGTACAGCAGTATACATATATATATATATACCAGTGCTGCTTTAGCTCTCATCTCGCGGTCGGCTGCTCTGACGATAGGGTACAGGTAGGTAGGAGTACTGTATACACATGGCGTTTTTATTGCTGTGTACAATCTATCTGTTGTTCGTCCGGTTTTTCTTGATGCGAACGCCACGCGCAAACAGCATACATACCCGCAAGAGGTACAGCCCGCCGTACGAAGCGAAATCGCTTGTGTGGTGTGAGTGTGATGAGCCGGCAGGGAGTCCGAACAGACCTTCACAACACAGCCTGTCTCTGTGCAAGAAGAGGTGATTTTTTTGTATCGCCTCCCTTGCGCTATGTATGTTGTACAAGAGAAGTACATTGGTCCAGGTTGGTCTACGAAAGAAAAAAAAAAACGCGGTGCAACGTTGTCTCGGTTAATCCCTTGCGAAATCAACCGACCCCCCCGGCGGGCGGTGCCGAATCACGCTAGAAGCCGCTGCAGCAGCGGTATCCATGAGGAGTGCCAGGCCATGAGGGTGGGAGGGAGAATCAGAGCGAGAGAGGTGCGTTCCGTGTGACATATGCTATCCGCAGGCGCCTTGGCGAGAGAAGAAGCTTTTCGGCTGATCGGGGTCTGCGGGAGTACGTATTTTCAAGTACAGGTTGCTGGCTGCTGGCTGCTGCGTGGTTAGTGGGGTCGATAGGAGGTGGTTGCACCTGCCCAACACACACAATTCTCGTTGGCTTCCCATCAAATGCTTTGGCTGTACGCACCCGCTGGCTGGGGCTCGTGGTAAGGGGTAGCACACTGTTGTACATCGATGCATAAAAACTGAAGATGTTGAGTGTTCCAGAGAGCAGTGGACCAGTACGTTGAAGGATGAACGGCGTTGGTTACTCCGTACACTGCTGTACAACTGGGGCTGTACCGCAGTAGCGGCCAGTGGTAAGGCTTAACCCTGCGTGATTGTAACAGCTCGTACAGCAGCGGATGTTGAGTGACGAAATCTGCAGCAGTGTACTGCTAGAAAGATGAAAGGTTAGGTTTGGTGTGAGAACAACATGCGGAGTGTGCCCTGGACATTGAGAAACGGGAACAAATACACCTTTTTGCATAGGCCAATGATTTACGGAGGTTCGGTTGGACCACCGGGTGTTTACCCGAATGCATACCACTACGTATCTACTTACATTTACCTTCGTCCAGCATGTAAAATGTGATATTTCGATATTTCGCTACCCCGGATCACGTAATTTTTCATGGAGGTCTGGTCTGCACGACTGGGTGGTGGATCCGAGGTGTAGATGCTGTGGTAGAACTAGCCCCCGCCTGTCGCATAGGATGTACAGCAGTATTGTGAGGTTGGAATCATCCCCTCCCTGCAAGGCCCACCAACCAACGGCTCATCATATCCACCGTTCTACAAGAATTGCACCTTGAAGGGTTTGATGTCCTCACAGAAACTCTTCTTGGCCTTCGTTTTTCTTTCTGTTTCGTCATGGGCGCATCGCATTTGAGTCGTCCGCATTGCCCCCCCAAAACAACATGCACCGTAAGGTTGCGAGTCTGTCAGCGCACCCCCATGCGGTGGGTTTTCTTTTTTCAACATTTTCGCCAATTTTCGCCATTTCATTTGCATCGCACCCCTGTGCGATGACTCCGGACCGTGCGATGACTCCGGACACTGTGCGGAAATCGAATAAAATCATTTGTTTTTGATAGATAACGCACACCCGTGTGCGATGACTCCAGTATCTTGTGCGGTCCTGATAAATCATGAAGGTGAATGAAAAATATCAAGGATTTCAACGCACACCTCTGTGCGATAACTCCGATATGTGCGGTACGGACACCTCAGTTGTGCTGCGGTTGCAGCTCCACACGCAACGTACACACACACACACGTGGACGTCAGTCAACCACAGCAGTTAGCCCGGCGGATGCTAGGTTTTCGAGAAAACACTTGTGCACATATGTACACACGCAATAAAAAGCTGCGAAATAAAACGCGGCGAAATACGAAATCCCGCGGGCGGAAAACAGGTAGCTTCCGCTGACGCTATGGATTCATTGCTAATCTATCTTAGACTCGTTTCCATTAGATAGAGACGGATTCGTTTTGTCATACAAATATTGTCATACAATATATGTATGTATATACTTCTATTAAGAAAAGAAAAAAACGTGATTTCCCGCTGTGGAGTTGTGCCTACACGCGACACACAGAGTCGCTTGGCAATCATGACGGAGGTTTCAAGCACGGTGGGTACCGCGATCTCAGGGGCTAGTGGTGGTGACCCTTCCTCGGCGGACGCGGTGAATAGTTTTGGTTGAATGGAAATGTTCAAGTTTAACTACCGATCCATCCAACGGAAATACCAACTTGGAAATACGAATGTGTTTCATTTCCTTCATACCTCCACGTGTGGCGTGCGACGATGACCTACCCATACAGCAGATCTATCATGCTAGCGCTGGCATGGTTGCAGGGGTGAAAGTTGCCCCGAAATCTCTGGCATTCAACTACATACTGTAAGTTGCGGGTCATCGCAACCCTGTGCGCTGACTCCGGATCATGTGCGGAAATCGAAATTGATCATTGAGCCATAAAAAAAATTGCGTCGCACCCATTTACGATGACTGCGGACCGTGCGAAGACTCCGGACCGTGCGGTGACTTCGAACCTTACGGTACCACAATCTGCATGTGCTGTAAATATCATCTCTGAACAGGGACAATTCGATCTGGGAGAGACAGGTTCGTCCTCGGAACCACTCCGTCCCCCCGGCGGACGAAACGTTATAGATGGGGGAGATCAAGGGGCGCAAGGACGACGCTGCGGCGTCACCAGCATCGCACGGCATCAACATCGCCGACCAGAGGGGGGCACGACGGACTAGGCCATGGGATGAGGAATTCGGCACCCCTGCCGAGGACGAAGCGAAACCGGAGTACGAATGGAGCCGTGGTCGCGGCAACACTGCGGCGAGCTCGGCCCACGCAAGAGGTTCCACTACCTTCGCTGTTCTTGACATCTACCACGACCTATCCGAAGGTGCACTTTACTCGTGTTTTTTTTGTCCCTTCTCGTTCCTTGGGTGCTTGGTCCTCTCTTTCCACCGTGCTCAGGCCTTGCCTGGCCTCTCTCTGCTTGGAGCCTGTGTAGCGTACGGGGGGAAGTGGAGCCAGCTGTGTGGTGGGGGTCACACCACTATACTACGGTCAGTGCCCGCACTTACGAACCCCAGCCTCGGCCTAAACTGGAGGGCGCTACCTGTATGGTTGCAAACACAAGACCGACTTGGCCCTTTCTCTTCGCTTCATTGTAAATAGTAGTAAGAGGATTGAGTTGATTGCTGCCACCGGACCACGTGCGTCCCCTGTTGAAACATGTGCGTTGGCGGATCCCTAGGAGGCGGGGGGTAGGACAGCATTGATACTGACCGGGGCGTTTCGGTAAAGGGAATGGATGCGGAACGATTTGATTACCTTTGATCGACTTACGGCTTCATTCCCCAGCGCAGATACTTGAGCCAATGAACTCCGTGTAGGTGCGGGGATTGAAATTTTACGGGGTGAACGATGGCCCGACCACTATCCGAGCATGATATTGTATGGAGTTCCACACTGTGTCTTCTGCCACACGGGGCCTCGTGTAGGTCAGGCCCAAAGCTTTGAACATGCAGGCTTTCCCGCGGTCTAGGCAGACGAGTCAGGCTACAACATCAAGGCATCCCTTGATGGCGCCATTGCATCTCTTGCTGGCGCCCAGTTGAGGGGCAAGATCGTCATGCGCGGCCCCAATCCCAGCAGTCTTTTAGCAGATGGCGGGGCATCCGTCTTCTCGTGGATTTTGTCATGCCTCTTCCAGCGTAACCGTCTGCCACTGTCGTATTTTTTAATGCAGGAACGGGCAGATCGACGGACAGATCGAATGCCGACCCTCCCGGCAGGTATCGGGTGCTCGCGATACACGCGTCTGCGGTGGTGCTGGGCCTGGCGACGTGGTTCAGCGCGACGGCGGTCAGGTGATCATACCAAGCGTTTCGCACCCTCCAGCTCATTTCGTTTATTTCTGAGCGGGCATCGCAGCTTTTGCCTACCCTTTGGCCTTCGTCCGAAGATCTACCACCTGTTCGTGTCTGCAGAGGCGCGCAATGTGCATGCATGGCCCTTTCTCGGTTCCTCCGCGGGGGTTGAAACGGAGCAGCTATGAGGTCTCCACTTGGATGTGCAACATGCATAGCCCCGTCTAGGTTTTTCCCGGGGGGGTTGAAACGAAATTTTATTTGGTTTCCACTTTTGCGCTTATCCCCCCGAAGAGAGTCGGTACTTCAGCGTGAAAGGGCCGCCACACGGCCGCCCCCGCCATATGTTGTTGCTGTTCTCTTGGCGTAAGAAACCGTGCTTCTGGCCTCCATGCAGTACCTCCCCTTCGTACTTACCGTTTCAGGCAACGAACCAATTCTTTTCCGCCTCAGGCTATGCATTGGTTGTTTCACCCGGTTCTCCTTTATTCGGCGATTTTCTGTCGGTTGCTTGATTTAGAACGCTTGATTTGCTCGACTCCCTCTCTGTTTGTTCGTCCATCTCGAGAGGGAGAACTCTGTGCCTTCGTTTTCTTTGTCTGTGCGAAGTCGAGCACTTCTCACGCTTTTCTGTTGCCCCCCCTTCGCGGCGTGCGATAACGTGAATGTTGCGGCCCAATCAGTACCCAGCTCAAGGAACGCTGGGGCATCGGAGACACAGCCTCGGGCCTGCTGACAAGCTCCGTCAACATCGGTAGGTTCCCGTCATCATCCGCGAGGATTGACTGGCGCTTGTGGCATAGTTGCGGGACGCGCGAGTCCGCGTTGCGCCTTTGATCTTGTGAAGCTGTACACTCGTAAATGAGGAGCAAGAGAAAGGACGGCGAGATAACATCTTTATTGTTTGTGCCGTTTCGTGCGGAACACGAAGAGGCACATGACACAAACGCCTCCCTTTTGGGTATACCATGTCGCCTATTGCCCATCGAATGAATGCTTGGGGAAACCCTGCCGCTTTCGAAGTGTCGTGTTTGAGCGAGTCACCTATCACTGCCAAACCACAACAGCGCAAATTGGAAAGCAAGGGTGACAGTCACTCGCACGACTACACTGTTTTGAATGTGGTCACGTTGCAGCTGCACAACACTGAAGGGACGCGAAGTAGGCCAAGGACAGGCATCCGAAACATGACACGACCACCAAACTGTCTCTGTTGAGCTTGGTACGGGCACAGCAGTATCCGGATGAGCTACTCGTCCGTTCCTCCTTTGCCTTTTTTCACGGGCAAGAGCGGGATTTGCGTGGTGTTTGTTGCAACCATGATGGAACACACACATTTACTCGCTCGCGACCCTCCCATACGAATCCGTTCTTGGTCCACCAGTATCAACCGTTAGTAACGTCATCTTGATGTTTTTGCATTTGTCTCTCTCGTCGCGAACGCCAACCTCACACCCGACGTGAACCCGACGATGAAAACCCCACTCGATTCTCCAACAGATGCACTCGTACAATTTCCTACGGGGTGAAATTCCTTCTTTTTTTCTGTGTCCGCGATGTGGTTGAATCTCAACCCGCTGCCCGCCGAGGCGCCCCCATACATTTTTTCGTTAGTATCTGATCTACTTTCTCACCGCAGCTCGCATCCACGCTGTGGTGAGCGTAAACCCCCCTGCCCTCTCGCGCGCCTGGCCCTTCGGAACGAACTCCCTTTAGGTTTCGTGGTCGGCGCCGTGCTGCAGGCCGTCCTCAACATGGCAGACCTGGTTAGACCGCAGGTGTTGTACTTCGCGGGGTGCGTGGGGGCCGCAGGCTGGAACGCTTTGTTGGCGGCTCCTGTCAATTTCCCGTAAGTTCCTGTTTTGCCATCCGTTTGTCGAACCAATTGCTTACATCTGCGACTTGTTCTTGGGGTGGTAGCGCTGGGGAGAGAGGTCGTCTCTTGTGCGTCGATGCCCTGCTGCACGTCGATGGGTGATGTATTGTGAGGGCATGCGTATGTATGCAGGACAAGGGCTAGTAGATACGGTATTTTTGTCGTGATTCTCCTTGTCTGCAACTCTTCCTGTCCTTCCCTCCCCCCGTCGGTATGTCTCTCCGCCCCTTTCCGCGCCCTCCTTGTGCACTCCTTGTGTCTAACTCGCGCATCTTGTTGCGCCCGCTTGAAACGAACAACGCCGCGTGCACGAGCAGTGTGGCGGTCATTCTGCGGTTCCTGACGGGCGCGTCGCTGTCCTTGGTGTACCCTCCGTCTCTCAAGGTGCACTGAGACGGCCGCTGCTGCACAGGGCAAAAACAGTCAATTCAAGCCCCAACAACCCGAAGTTGTAAATCGTTGAAGTGCCGTGGTGGGGTCGCGCCTTTCTCTAGGAACGAAACGGGCCAAAATATTTTGCCCGCGCATTCGCCCGGGACTCGTAAATCCCAGCACTACGTCGCCTGTGCGCAGAAACCCCAGCGTCTGGGGCAGTAACACTCCCACGCTGATTCTTTCCCAAAAACAGGCGAAGCGTCGAGATCTGCTGGTGTTTTGTCGTTTCCGAGGTGTGTAGCTTTCGGCGGTCACCTTTTCTGCCTTTCTGGGATCACCTCTGTTTCGCTCTAGTGACTTTTTCGCCCTTGCGATCTCGCTCAAAACCCCGCCAGTTCGGCGCTTCTGCTACCAGTGGGTGGGGTGCGCCCTTTCTGTCGGGCGCACTTTTTGCGGCAAAACTTGCGAAGCACACGCCCACATTCGCCACGTTACGACGAAAACACTCTCATTCGTGCTTCTCTTTCCCACTCTTCCGAAAACACGCTGTGGTCCGCACGAATCAGTTGATATCTACGTGGTTCAAGTACGGCAGGGGCGTTGCTCTGGGCACCATCATAGGGGGCTTGTCGCTTGGGTCTGCGCTCCCCCACTTGATCGTCGGCGCGGGAGGCGTCGGCGATCGCTGGCGCATTGTTACGGTGAGAGAAAGAGAGGGGGGGGGGGGGTCGTATGGCACTCGTGCTGCGTGTACAACAGTTCCGTCGAGAGAGAGAGAGAGTGAGAGAGAGACAGAGAGAGAGAGAGAGAGAGAGAGAGAGAGAGAGAGAGAGAGAGAGAGAGAGAGATACAGACAGAGACAGGGAGATAGGGAGATAGGGAGAGACAGGGAGAGAGAGAGAAAGGCAAAGGAAGAGACACGACGCCTTCTCGCTTTTCATCGACGAAACCTGTCTTGAGTTAACACAGAACTCGTCACCCGATATCTGGGTCGTTTGGACGAATTTCGGGGTGTTGCATTTCATGCTTTTGTCATCGTATCAGCAGGGTGCTCTCAGCAGGGTGCTCCGCACCCCGCGAAATAGGACAGAGGCGTGTACCGCATATCTCGTGATATCAGGTACCACACGACATGTACAACAGGCAGCTAGATAGGTTCGTGCGCTTTCAGAAAACAGTTCCTCACACAACTCGCTCTATCCCAACCACCGTACTACCTAACATCTCCAGTCCCGATCCGCACTTGGTGTATATCCCGAACCAGTCGTATCGGGGTTGGGGGCTTCGATCTCTGCAACCGAACTGGTACTTAAAAGCATCCCCACGCTCGGTAGAGCTTGGGTCTCTATCTCTATCGTAAGGCGTTCTCGTTCGCGTGCCCCCTTGGACCCGCTTGGATCCCAGCGATGGCTTGCAAACGCGTGTCCTCCTTCGCGAGTTTCGACGTTCCGCAGCTCTCACTTGCCCCGTTCAACGCCGCCTCCCGGCTATTCCCATCACCCACACACCCCTTCCGCCTCTTTCCACCTGCTACCGAACCCCACCGCAACACCAAACAGTACTCGACTTCGATACTGGCGCTGATATCGGGAGTCATGGTCCTTGCTTTCGTACCAACAGGTAACGCAGCCTGCTCTACAAATAGGGTTGACGTACGGTAGTACTGGTGCAGTGGCCATGAAGGTGTTATAAGTCCACCCACCCGGTGGTGCGTGTTCGAGAGGTTGTTTATTTGTTCTCGCCGGAGAAGGACCAGCGCTTTGCTGGGGGCAGAGCGTACCCGATGTCTTGGTATAAGATCCTCCTGATTCTCACCCTACAATCAGGAATGCTCCAACGTGACGGAAAACGCCTATTCATCCCCATATTCCCCTGCACATCATTCACCGCTCCTATTGCACTCAGGGCCGTTTCCTTTTTCGAAGGCCAAGTTCAGCCTGCAGACCATTCCGCGGCTGGCTGGAAATCGCGGGGTCGTGCTCGCCACGTTGGCATACTGCGCGTGAGTGAACCGCTCTTTTTTCTTTGCGTGCGCACGGTGCTCAAGCAAATAGGACAGCGTGGCTGTAGGTGGCTCGGCAGAGAGTTAGCACCGACCGCCCTAACCTGCTGCCAAATGAACAGGCCGCCGGTCTGTTGCAGGACTCACACCAATGTTTTTGTGCTTGCGTTCTTGTCGCACCTCCCTGTAGACGGATATTCTTTTTCAAAACCGGCACCACTGGAGACAAGTCACTTGAGACCATGACAAACACAAAACATGTCGCGGCTACATACGGTTCCAGTGGCAGTCCACTCACATGAAAATAATGGCAACTGCAAAACTGGCAGGTTGAAACGTCTCGACTGCGTCAAAATCTAGGGTCCTTGTGCCGTTCGGGTATATCTCGCCCACTCGAGGCAATCACCGCGCGAACACAAAGCAAAGGTCAAAATGCTAAAGTTTTTCTTGCCATGTTGTATAAACAGGCACATGTGGGAGCTGTACGGCCTCTGGACCTGGTTCCTGTCTCTCTACACGGACTACCTGGAGGTGCAAGAAGAGGACGGCCTGGGCGGGGGTACGGACGACCTCTCGAGGAAGCGTCTGGCGAGCCTGGTCACTTTCGGTGTCGTCGGCATCGGCGGCATCGGTTGCCTCTTCATCGGGTGGATAGGTGAGAGCTCCATCGACCGCCGGCCGCGCGTTTTTCGTCGCTTGGGTGCGTGAGGCTTCTTCTTCCGCTGGTTTCGGTCTATTTTGCCACGTCCTGCACTGCTTGTGGGGTATCTGTTGCTCCTTGGTCTTTTCTTGGTCGCATTCGTACACGCGACAAATCGGGATGAGAAATAGGGGGCGCAAATGTTGGTGTAGGACTCCTCGCGGCTGGTTCGCACGATCCGTACCCCGCACCAGCAAAAGTCTAGTTGTTGCCGGCTACGCCGTCGCCATCATGGTCGCCGTCGTATGTTAATATCCCCTCCAGGTTGCGAGCAGCGAGCGCACGTATTCCGAGACCGCGCCGCCCTGGTCGACAATAGAAAATCCAATTTCACCAACCTACAAAATCGTGATGGGCACTGTGCGTCAGGAGAGTTGCAGAAATACGCCAATAAGTACGAGGCAGGCGTACCTGGTTCAAGATCGCGCAAGGGGAGTACAGAACACTAGCCCGTGGAACAATACACAAAGTTTGACGTGTCAAACCCCAAAACTAACAGAACATGAACACCCCGCCCTTCTCACCACACGCCCCGCCACAAACGTCCCTGCCGCAGCGGACGCCAAAATCGGTCGGTGTAACGCATCCATCACTGCCTTGGCTGTCTCGGGATCGTGCGCCGCCGCTTACGGACCGTTGTCCGGGGCCGGAGCTCCCCAGGGTTTGCTGATCCCCCTTGCTTTGCTGTGGGGCTCGGCCGCTGTGGCGGTGAGCTCTCCTTTTTTTTGTGGTGCGCTTTCCTTGTCGTTTGCCACTTGATTGGGTGCGTTGTGCGCATGTCGAAAGCGAGCGTTGTGCGCGGCATGCGCGCGATCGTTGCAACCGATGACGGGCGTACAGATACAAACGTCATAGGCATACCTTTGTTGAGGTTCTCTTCCCCCCGAGGGTTAAATAGCTTCACCCAAAACAGATGTATGTGTGTGTTTGTTTGTTGTATCGAACGCCCTCCCGGACTGACCAATGTGTGTGTGTGCGTGTGTGGTCCCATTTCAGATGAGCCACAAGATTTGTTTGTTGGTGTCATCCCCGTGGAACCTTCGACTCTGCCGACCGAAAACGCCTGGCATTTGTTTCTTCTGTACTTGTCTTGGAATTAACGGGGAGAAAGTTATCCGTGCGGCCGAACGAACCCATGTGCAACACCCCCGTAAACTGCAACGCGTTGAAACTGATCGCCCGCCCGCCCTTCGTGGGCGCACGCGCCACACCACACCGCAGGAGTCGGCCCAGTTTAGCGCCATGGCCACCGAGCTTTCGGACCAGGACACTGTCGGCACGGCTCTCACACTGCAAATGGCGCTCGGGTTTACCGTCACTGTTGTCGGCATCTTTGCCATCCCCCTGGTGGAGGTGAGGTAACCAGCGTTTCCGCGTTGGTGGGTTCCGAGCACACACCTTTTGGGCATATGAATGTTTTGGAAAGACGAATTCGGTGCCACCCCGTTAGAACTCGAGATTGAAAGCTCAGGTTGCAACAATGTGTAACCATGAACGAAGGGTTGGTGATGCCCTGTAATGTAGGAATCCCTGATTAATGCCACCAATGCCGGAAAGTCGTTGGCAACGCACAGACCCCGGGTACGATGGTCAAGTGTTCGAGTGAAGACTGGCAGCTCACACGTGTTTTTGGCGGATCTGATGTTAACTGAGCTTCAGTGGCTGTCGCTGTCTTCGAGCTGCAAACCGAGGCGGGCGCCGTTGTTGTTTTCACATTTGAGCAAGATCTAGTCTGACCCCTCTCGAGTGTCTCCTGTTATGTACAAAAATATCGAAGGCAAAGAAATAGTTTGCTTCCCTGGCCACGAGCTATCCCATTGGTGATACAACACGAAGCCGAAAGGACCCGGACCAGTCCCGCGACTAGCAAATAGGGAAAATTCCAAGAGTTGGTCACATCAGACACTGATATCGCTGCCGATGTGTTTGCCAGCCCGCTGGTCGAGGCGAGCGGAGAGTTTCGAAACGTTTTAGGCAACCTATCTCCGTATGCTCCCGGACTTCACGCACGGTGCATTACTGCGACTTCGGAATAAGCAGCGCGCTTGATGAAGAGTCGATGTACCCCCCAGTGTAATGCCATGGAACCGAAATCGATTAAGTCTGCCAAATATGGTCATGCACCACCGTGTGCACATATTGAAGAGCGAGAGTCGACCCCTTCGATTGGCCAATCAGCAAACTGCGGGCACCTTTTCTATTAGACTTTGGGATGCATGGTTCAGCCTTTTTGTGCTGTGCCTCCGCTCTCCTTGGCAGATGATCTAAAGACTAATAGTCTATGACCATTCGGCCATTTGGGCTATGATTTATTGCGAATCAAACCTAAAGAGTATTCGGGCGGGTGTATTTCCGTTTTTCCAGGAGGCGACCTCGTGGGGATGGACGACGGTGTTTCTCGTACCGGGACCCGTGCTCGGAATCGGCCTTATCATGGCCCTCAAGCTTTCCCCCTGCGCGGCCAAGATGAGCAACGGCAAGGGCTAGCAAGGGTTTGTAGCGTAGTCAACGCGTGTTAGCCGCAGAATTAGAGGGAAACATATTACAACGAACTGCATCGTCTTTCGTGCTGCGAAGCGTAACGCCAAAGTTCCGTTGTCTGCAGAGGGTAGCCACATCGCGTGTAATTTTCGCATGGAACAGGTTTTGCGCTCGTTAGGTTGGGCGACGATGCTCTTGTACTTTGGTTGCGCCAGGCTTCTTGTTGTATATGTAATTGTGAGTTTTTCCTAGGTTGCGCTACTGTGTGAGTTCAGCGGCAGGAGCGCGTGTGCATGTCGTCGGCTGTCGTTCGAAAGAATATCATCGCCCACTTGGCCCCACCTATCCCGAAACGTCCCCGTTTGACGAGATCCATTTTCATAGTGGTGGTGGCGTAGCCTTCGTTTTCCGCACACCAGAGAAGGTTTTGTCGACCTCGTCGGTACCGTCGTGGGCTATCCCTGGATGGAGCGTAGATGATCGACCATCAGGGCTAGAGAAATGTTTCCATACATGACGTTGTTGGCCGCAGGGAAGGGGTTGGGGTTAGCGCATGGGATTCCTTGCCGTTTTTGGAAGCAATAGTCTACTGGGCTGTTTCCTCGCTGCCTCGAGGGAATTGCCGAAAGGCGACCAAGCTGGAAACATGACAGAGAACGGTGGTTGTGCGAATCAGACGGTTTAGGACCTTTTTTTTTCTAGCTTCGCACTTGCTACACACAGCAGTTGCTGCTGCTGATGTTTTTTTAAGTATACGGGAGGGGCCAAACTCATGTAAACGCATGGCCACAGTCGTTAGCTCATTCTCATCGCATGCCTGCAATGCTGGGACTGAGCGATTAATCTGGTTTTCACCGGCCCAGGCTAGGTTTAACAAGGATAATCCAGAAGCTGGCCATTTCTTTGCGTTCGCGGTGCCATGAACCAGATATGCCTTTGGTTTATTTCGCATCCCTGCTGACCGAACACTTCACACCCGGGAGACACGACTCTATATGCTTCAAGTACGTAAAGGACTGCCATCTTTGTACGCTCCAGCCTAGCCCACGCCCAAACCCCGTACTGGACGGCAGTTGCGTAGTGCCATAAAAAAACGATGTACAGTAGGATACATGTGATGAAGAGGGAAGCAACAAGGAGGAAGATTCCGATCGATCTCGAGGGGATGGCGTCACCTCGACACATGCCCGTAAAGAATGGGCTGGAATGGTCTGGGTTTGTTGTGTTCGTAACTTTCCTTTCCCATGCAACTTGACCAAACAATTCCACGCCTGCCGACTCCCTTGTGTAATGCTGATCGTTGTACGGGACGTTCCAAAAGCGAGTCCTAACGTCTTGGCTGCCAGTCAGCCCTTGAAATCGAGTTTGACACGTCTTAGATTTCACCCCACGGCGCGATACCCAATTTGGCCTGAATTCGGAGCGTTTCGCACCAGTGGGCATGGGCAGAAAGCATCCACAGCCGTCGTCGTTATTTGCACACCCACGACGGAGGAGCCGACGGACGACGTCTGCACAACACGCCGTGCCCCTCGTCTCGTTGTTACTGTTGTGCTGTGCTGTGCTACAGCTTGAGCGTTGATTGTCACAGATTTACGAAATACCATTTGACTTTTGCGCCATTCATGGCAGTCTGCAGAGGTTCCTTGGTGGCCGCCGGGTGGATCAAGCACAGCGGTAATCTTCTGCATCCCAAAGCGTTTGTATCGAAAAATCACACAGGATGGGTTGCTAATGTCCACACGTATGATCCAACGTGGGCTTGAACTGGGCGAATCGTTGCAATGCCGCCGTGCGGTTGAGATTTCACTAAGTACCGTAGCCGCGCGAACGAACGAACAGATCGGAGCGATCGCACAGAAAGACCTGCTTGAAAAGGATTTCATTGGGCATTCGCTCAGTGCGCGGGGATATCATACACCATGCGACATCACCGATCAGATCCCACTTTTCGGTGTGGGGCTGGGCGCCACACTGGCACATTCTGGGATGTCGCGGTTAGTGTTCTTCCCGCGGGATGTCATCGGGGCTCCACTGCTGTGTGTACACGCAGTTTGGCATAGGCACACCGCGTCCAAACGAGGAATGTTTTGTTGGGATCGGGAAAACGCGGGGTTCATAACGCGAAAACGCCGCCACGCACAGATAGTTTGAGAGCGGGTTTCTGTCTGAATGTTGTCTGCCATCCCAACCTTCTCTGACCGTTTTACCTACGTTAGTCGGCGAATATTTTCACTCACATTTCCACTTCACAACCACGCTCTCTAGAGCAGCTGGGTTCTGCGACGGGAACAAGTCACAACAACTCATGACCGAACGCTGCGAAAGCCTCCCCGTTCCGACAACGCAACGTGTGCCCCGACTTGGCCTGGTCAGTTGGGAATCATATGAATGGAGAGTACAGAATACAAGTCATGTCACTGGTGGATGCTGCTAAGTTCCCGTTGCGCGTGGAGTCTAGTAGTCAGGGTTGGACGCATCCCAAGAGCGCTCATTGCTCGCTGTTCTGTTTTGAGTCCGCATCCCCGACTTGCAGGATACCGTCTAACCAAACTCACTTCCATCCTTAAGGCCACGCCGGCCGCTGATGCCCAACTCACGCGGGAACACCCACACCATCCAGCACGACATTCCTACATTCACTCGTCGCCACAATGGGGTCGGATTCAGGTCTGACCAAGCAGCAGCTCCTGCTTCATCAAATAACATGCTCTCGGAATCGCGCTGTTCCGGCAGTTCCGTCTCCCCTTCGATCTCCCCTCGCCCCGCGTTGTTTTCCAACCCTATAACGAAAAGCGTTGTGATAACGGCGTGGGAGGTGGTCCAGCCTCGTGCACACGAGTAATGTCGTGGGTGCGTGTCTGCGAATGAAAAAAAAATCAGCTGCGGAAGGATTGCCATCCTTTGTAGTAGCACGAATACGTCGGTGTTTCGATCTTTGGTGGACTCCCATCGTTCGCCGCAGGCTGCTTCCAGCAAAGGATGTGCAGAGGTTTTTACAACTTTCGTTCTTCCTACACAAAGCTCGAGGATACCGATACACAACGCACGATGTGCACCCCAAAGGATGAATGACATGTTCTACTCTTACCCATTCTGCCCGGGATACCGTCACTACGGTAAGACAGACTGTGGTTTCGCCATATGGCAGTAAAAGTGCCAACGCTACGTAGACCTCGGTCGAGACATCGTACGTGTTCAGTGTACAGTAGACGCACCTTCGGTAACGCTTACTTCCATGCGAAAGAGATCCCCACTTCCGGCACCGCAGCACAAGGCTCGGGACGTGATGCAGCTTCCTGGCAGGAGCTGGGTTTATCTGAAGCTTCGTCGGTTTCAGCGAGGCGTGCTCCGGCAGGATCCACCGTGGAAGAAACGACCACTTCCGTCTTCACCGCAACGTAGTCTTCTAGCCCCGAAAACGAATCGTCTTCCGCCAAGCTGGTGCTCCGTTCGTCTACTACTGTGTTCGGAGCCACGGGGATGCCAGCCGGAGCGCGGGCTCGCTTGTTGCCTCTCCTGCTCGAGCTTGAAGAAGCGTTCCTCTGACTGCCTGAGGAATGGGAGCGGCCTCTCCGGTGTTCAGCAGCAGCACCAGGAGGGCACCCAGTGCCATTGTCGGCCTCTGCTGGACCACGACGCCGAGGACAGACGCTGACCTTGCCATCATCGCGCGCCCTGCTCTTGGAACCATTGAGGTTGAGCATATTGTCCTTCGCATGTCTAGAGCAGAACAATCGAGCACCGCTTCCTGCGATGCCGTACGATGGTCGCGTGGTGCAACCAGGGTGGCCGCAATTCCTGCTCACGACGTTCGCCACCCTACCCTTGTTGTGTCTCGAGCAGAACTTCTTCGTGCCGTCAACACCACGGACCGCCTGCGCCTTGCAACCGGGATGGCTGCACGGCTTGTTCTTGACGTCCACCATCCCGTCTTTCTTGTGCGCGGAGCAAAACAACTCCGCCCCCGTTGCACTACCGCCAACAACACCAAAAATCGGTATCGTATTGCATGCGTCGTAGGAGCACGATCTGTTCACAACGTCCACCATGCCATCCTTCTTGTGTTGCGAACAAAATTCAGCCCTCATGCTGTTGATCGCACCATAGTGGGGTTGCTTGGCGCAACCATGATGGCTGCATCTCTTACTGCGGACGTCCACCATTCCGTCTTTCCTGTGCCCGGAACAAAACTCCGCGGTTTTCGTTCCTGCAAGGCCGTAAGCAGGCGTAGTGGTGCAACCTGGGTGGCGACACGGCTTGGTCTTCACATTGACCATCCCGCTTTCCTTGTGCTCAGCGCAATACTCAGCCCGTTTTGTGGCAGCGAAACCATAATTTGGCTGCTTGCTGCAGCCGTCGTAGGAGCACCTCCTGTTGACGACGTCCACCATGCCGGCCTTCCTGTGTCCCGCGCAAAACTCGCTCCTTTTGGTACCCGCAACACCATACTTGGGCTGCTTGGGACAACCAGCATGGCCACACCCTCGCATTCTCTCTCCGGCACACCACCGTCTTTGTATAGCGCAACAAGCAACCTAAACAAGGTACAGGGGGGCTGTGGTGGTACGGCTGTGGATGTGCATGCGTGGTATATGTACTTCACATGTTCATGGCACACCACATACATGCACACACCACACACACACACACACACCAAGAAGGGGGCACCGTGTGATGTTTTATTGTCCCCATCATGAACATCTGCGGAACCTCATGCGGCGGGATTAGCTGTCCAAAGTCCAAACCAAAGTCGACAGCACAGCGAGCAGAGAGCAGCCCGCACAGCAGTAGTTCGTGATACGGACAGGGGACACCGGAGGAACCACGCACACCGATCTGCACCTGGTGAGTGTGCACTGGTATCGCCCAGTCAGGGGCGAAGAGAGAACGGTGGGAAACGCTGCGGATGCAATGAGAGAGGGTAGCAGAAAGCTGCAGCAATCACGGCAACCACGCAATAGCACCACAGCCTGCCTGGTGACGCTGTTGAGCGGCGGCGGAGGCTCGATGGCGGCGGCAGCAGCAGCATGCACGCCGTCCAGTTCATCTCGCGCGTCCTCTCTAGCAGCAGGCGTCGTGCCTGCTTTCGCGGCCCGGGTATCTTCTTCTCTGGCGAGCAAGCGCAACCATGGCGATCGTGAGGTGGGATCTGGGAGGTCCTCGCTAGTTGCAGTTGGACGGAGAACGAGCAGCAGAGGCCGCCGCACCAACGACCGAGGGGTATCCACGGCTGTGTCGATGTCGGTTGAGGGCTGGAAGATACAGCCGCGGGGGTTAGGCCTTCCTGGTGGTGCGTTCTCAAGGGCAGGGGGGTGGCCTCCAGCTGTCGGTGAAAGGTATGATAGATGGGCCTCGACCGGCGTGCGGTGGGTCTCAATCCCATCGTACAGTCCAGGACGCGCGGCGAAGCCGCTCTTGGGTGTGTGTGGGTTGGGGTTGGGTTAGGCCTACTCAGCCTTTTTTTGCAAGAATACTCACCCCAACACATGGAAAAACAAGTAGAAACTCCTATTAATGTATCAGTCTCTATCCGGTATGTTTAGGCGCCAACGTCGTTAGGCCCCTCATACAGTTGTTTGATTAAAGCAAGTAGTACTGCACATCTTCATGGACTTCGGAGCACGGCAACCTTTCACGGCACAATCACCACGACATATTTATACTGCTGTACAGTAGTCTACATCCTTTAGTTCAAATTAGTCTCGTGGCGACAGGATGGGGGGTTGCGGTTGAAGATCCGGTAGAGCTTCCTCGCAGCACCAGGCGCATATTCCAGTTGTTTTCGGAGCCCGTATGCTACGGTAGTCCCACTGCTGCTGTCGATCGGGATTGGTGACATGCTTGCGCAATGCACTGGCACACGGAAAGAGGATCAGGGTTACAGCAGTAGTTAACCGAACATCGGAAAAAGGCAAACGCCTTGTTTGTTTAGCGTACCTTACACCGAAAGCTACAACGTGGACATGAGATGTGAAAAGCAAATATATTTTTGTAGTCAGTCTGAGTGGGTTCGTTGTCGTTCGTTCAGATTGCAATCGGTCGGCGGGCAATCGCAAGTCGCGGAGCACAGCTCAATAGGACCCATATCTGATGCAGGGGGGCGGCTTGGGGCAGCTCACGATTGCCCGGTAGCCGATAGCCTTCCTCAGCGGTTTCTTGGATCGATGAAAACCACGTTTTTCGATGATTTTCTGGCATGCTCGATCCCATTGCATATTTTCTCGCATGAGCATGCCCCTCATCCAAAGCCAGGCTAACTGTGTGTCCGCCTGCATGACAGCACCACGAACTGCACTCGGTGGTTTCCCGTTGGGGAGTTTGTTTTAGCCGCCTCGCTCAAGGACGAGAGTTGCGTTGGTGAAACGTGCTACGCGACGCGCATAGTTTGTAGCCTTTATTATTAGAAGTTCCTTTTCGTGTGTCAGACAAGAACTCCCGACGTCGCTCGTAGAGCACGCCCCTCTGCTGCATCCTGCCTTGCTTGGCGAAACCACCCTGGCGGAAGGGAATGTTTGTCTCATGGACAAGGGAGGGAATGAGATAGGGGGAGCTTCAACACCAGGACAATAGCACAGCGCCGCCAGCACAATCCCATGATGCTGCCATCGCGGTGGACTTGTGGTGGTTCGTGGTGGAACAGCATCGAGTCTCGCGTAACGATTCCCTGTTCGGGCTGAGATTTGGGTGACCGTTGTTTGTGACGCACCCTCTTTTGTTTGTTTGCGTACAATCAAAGAACGACTACTTTCCCGTTCGAGATAGGCCCGCAGTCTTCGTAACACTCACGGCCATCTTGTCGCGTGTTTTTTTTTTGTCGACCTTCCGCCGACAGGAGGCGAACGCTTGCGATCTCGGCAGCGACGACCGAGGGGGGGGGGCGCTTCGACTCTGCGGAGCTGCTCAAGATGGGCTACAGGGACTTGCAGAAGCTCGCCAAAGAAAACGATGTGAGAGGCAGGTCGGGATTGGGTACATACCTGACAACCTCGGTGTACATGCGTTTTCGTGTGAGGTTTCCGATCCTCTCTCTTATTTGACTTGTGCTTGTGAGTTTTATCAATGTACGCAAAGAACGCTGCGTGTGTGAGTGCTGATGGAGAACAATAAAAAATAACAATGCAATGCCCACGGATAAGGAATCGCTCTACCGTGTCCTCGTTGCACGTGCGTTTGGTCTGGCCGCCTCAAGTCCGTCTCTCTGGGTACGAAGCAGAGAGCAGCGCGTTAACGCTACAATGCAGAATTTCCGGTGATAATCCCGAGACCATCGTGTGAGGTTGACTTTGACCTCTTGGGCGCACAAGTCTCGCCCCCCCCTCTTCGCTCTCTTCCTGTCGTCTCTGCCTGCATTCATAAACCGCCCATGTCGTAACTTTAACACGTTTGCTTCTCGCCCGGCAGATACGCGCTAACCAGGCTGGAGAAGCCATCATCAACGACCTCGTGGCTCTGGGGGCAAACCCAGCCAGAGGTGAAAAGCACGAGCGAGGTTTGACAGCAACCGTAGGGTTATATCGATAGGCCAGCACAACTCCCGGTCCCAAGGTTGTTTCCCATACCACGCCTACTGTACATGTTGTTTGTGTCTTTTTTTTTTGGCGTTGACCGTGCTCGCCGGTGATCAATGGGCAGAGGTCAGTCGCGGGGGGGGGGCGGGGGCAGTCATGCGAACAGCTAGAGCGTGCGAATGGTACTCTGCCTCAAGAACGACGCGTCGTCAGTCTATTGGTCACGAAGCTGGTGAGGTATGACCCACACGGATGAAACCACCGGCGTACCTGTCCACCCCGCTTATACTCAATAAGGGCCGGATAGCAACGGGGAAGATGTCGCGGTCCCTGCGACAGGGGAGTCGTCGGATTGGGTTGCCGGCGTCCTTGATGAGGACATCATGGCAGGGGTTGATCTCGAGGCGGATGGCGAAGATGACGCTGACGGCGAGGACAGTGAAACTTACGCTCAAGGTGACGATTGAATGTTGTCGGCGCTTTGTGGTGTTAATGGTGGGTTTGTTTTTTCGTACCTTCTGTGTTGTCATCGGTGGTGCGTGGTTTGAAGTATGGGTTCCAGAGTGACGGCTACTCTGAAGGGGGGTGGTCCTAACTTTTTCTCATTGCGGACAACGTGCACATGTTCTTAGCGCCGACTCTTGGAAACAGTTGGTGGAGTGGAGGGGACCTGGGCGCGCGGGTGGTTGTGGTGGCGGGAGGCTCTGAACTCCAAGGCAGATCATCGAACCAAGTGGACCCCTCGACAATCTTCCCTCTTTTCAGTAGGCTTTTCCAAAATGACATCCAACATTCTCAAAGCGACATGTCACGGCCATGCGTTCTCACGTCGTTTACCGACAATGATTCAGCACTCTGCCTCTAGCCGACTTTCAATAGCTGTGTCCAACATTCACAAACCGACGGATCAATGCCATGTGTTCATTCCTGCGACATGGATCCAGCGCCATTCCTCTCTGGTTTTGTGGGAAGATTTTTCCGCTCGCCAAAGCCCGTTGCGCTTGCAAATAGTAGAGGTCCCTGCTCAATGCCGGTATATTCCCAGAATTTTCGCCGCCAATATACGGTACACCGTTACTAGTCGAAGTACAGAATGACTTGGTACTTCAGTGTGTGCCCGCCAAACATACCGGCACTATTCCGGCAACCGGCGCTAAACAGGGACCTTTACTGCTGTGCGAATTTTCTTTTGTTGACCGCAGCTGTCAAGAGGGCTACCTCGGGCAAATTTACCGCGACCGACATGGAGGGGCTCAAGGGCGGGGTGGACCGGGGGGATGGGTGGGTGACCTTTAAGCTGGGGAAGGGGGATGCGCTCGGTCTTGACGGAGAGGGGGACGACGACTACTTTGACGACGATGACGATTATGACGACGAGGAGGGTGGCGGGGGCGATGACATGGACGCTCGTATACGGTGAGCAGACAGCGCCATGCGTTGGTGTGGGGGGGTATTTTGGAGGTGGCGCGTCGGGCTTCGAACGCCGACGACAGTTTCGTTGGGTTTCGTTGGCAATGGATAGTTTTGTCGACACCCTCCTCGCTTCCGTCTGCATGGCATGGGCATCGATTCCCGCCTCCCGCATACTGGTATACCTGGTAGAATTGTGTGCTCTTCCAACTTCACTGGGCGTAATTTTGTTTTTTTCAGTCGATGGTCAGCCGCGCAATGTGGCTATCCTGCGTATCAGGGGGGGGGTCGGGGTCTTCCATGGTTTCCACGTGGAGGGCCCCTTGCACACCGTGCCCGCAGCATCCCACGCCCCCGCCCATGTCGTGTTTGCATCAGCGCAACGTCCTCCCGATGGTTGCCGGTGGCAGGGACGCGGAAGCGTCAAGGTTTCGACTGTCTCCGGAGATGATTGCCTCCAGCGCGGAGGACTTCGGGTTCGGTCGAGACGCGGCGGACCTCGAGAAGCTGACGGTGAGAACGAAGCCGTAGCGACTGCACGTCAGAATACGTACGCGATAGCTTTGGAAGTTCTCACCTCCTCCTCCTCCTCCTCCTCCTCCTCCTCCTCCTCCTCCTCGTGTCTTTGGGCTCCTCTTTTCTGAGAAGGGCAACGGTTTTGCCACGGGGCTCCCTCCCCATTCTGTCGGGCGAATCGTCACGAGATTGACTGGATGGCTTTTTAGGATGTAGACTAGCATATGTCGTGCTGTTCGTGCCGCGACATTGCTGCCGTGCTCCCGAGTCTATGAATACGTGCATGTACGATGGCATGCTGTTGCTATTTTGTTTTGTTCTCTCCTTGTTCGCTTTGTGTAGGGTCCTCCTACTGAATTTTCGGGGCTGGGTTTCGAAAGCGAAATTACGTACGCAGCACCCGACACTTACTGCCCTGGTCCCCTTTTTTTTGCGTTGGGCTGGGTTGTAGGATTGACACCGGCAACGGCGCATCTAGCTCCGGTCCGTCTTGCACGTTAGTACGATGTACGACGAAACGCTCTTGGTCTCGTGGGTAGTGAAACATCATTATTGAAGATTGTCTACCGCAGTGATTGTGTTCGTCCCATCTAGTCTGGCCAATGTCTAAACGTAGTGAGTGCGATGCGACGAAACGCTTTATGTCTCATGGGTAGTGAAAAAACGAAGGTAGTCTACAGCGGTAGTCATTTTGTGTTCGCCCCATCTGTTCTGGCCAATGTGTACGGCGTTGTGAGTGCGGCGTGACGAAACGCTCTTGTGTAACACGGTGTTCGTCTGAAACCGGCCGGCAGATTACCGTCCCGACGGGTTGCTGCCCCGGCTGCGGGAGCAAGTTCCAGTCCGAAGACCCGGCGAGCCCCGGGTTTCTCCAGCTTGATAAGCTCGACGGCTTGCTTGGCAACGAGGTGGGGGCTGCTACGGTGGTGAGGAAGAATTGTCGAGGGGCAAGATGAACCGTCGCACTGCCGCCCTGCATCATCATCCACATACCAAACCACTCTCGAAACCAAGACAAGAGATTTGATGAATGCCAAGATCATGAGATTCATAAAATGAACAGCTTTTTCGAATATGTACATGAATTTTTTTTTTCGAATACATGGAACAGCTTTTTCGCAGGTCACCGAACCTACTTTGTGGCATTACAATATTTCGATGTTGCGGAATTAAATAGGGTTTTCATTCACCCCTTTGTTTTGGTCTACAGTAGTTGTCACCATCATTTTTCCTTGTAGCTCGAATATTGAGAGGAAGGGTGTCGGGACGAGTTTCCAGCGAACGCGACAACGACACCTATTGTACAACAAAAAAACTTCTACTGCGTCCCGCTGTTACAAATCTATGACTGAAGAATAAACGGCAACGCTTCACAGATGACGGCAGAGGACACAAGAGAAGCAGCAGCGGTGACGACAGACGAGGCAGACATGGACCCGGAAGCATGGCTGGAGGCGCAGTCCGACATCAACACCGACCTAGACTTCGACCTAGATGTAGGCGATGAGGACGATGATGGAGGCGACCCTAGGGGAGAGTGGGTAGAAGGGTCGTACGCATCTCCTGCAGGCGTCCCGACCGGAGGAGGTTAGTGGGGGCTACGCAGGAGGGGGGGGGGGGTCTACATCCGTACTGTAGGTGTTTAACCTCGCATCCCTACAATGCCGCGGCTTTGGAGTGCTATCTACACCCCCTGCTGTTGTTTTTTAGAGGTTGTCGAAACGTGGATACTGTACTGTTGTGTGCATGTGTCTGAGTTGGGGTATCCGCAGTGCTGTCTGTATCCTGTGCTGTTTTTTGCTGTGCTGTCTTTTTTTATGAGTCGTCGAAACGTTGGAAGCTTTCGTGTGCATGGTGTGTTGGGGTAGGCGTGTCTCGAGGATGTGTATTTGGTACCAGAGCTTCTTCCTTACTGCACCCAGTTGACCGATGACCAATTTTCATTTCTTAACGTGTTTTTCTTTTTATTTTATTTTGATATTTTTTTCGACATTTTTACTCAAAACTCACTATTTCCAAGCAGCAACACATCCAGGATGAGGGTTGCCTTTTTCTCTTGTCGGACCGTTCTACTCGACTCACATTTTTTTTCTCAACCTTCAGGGGGAGGGCTGGGACGAGCCTCGAGAGACACAGCGGTGCTAGCCGGACGCACACCGACAACAACAACAGCAGCTGCAGCAGCAGCAGTAGGAGCAACGGAGTTGTCATCAAAGGAGGCGGTGGCGGGGTGGGGGCTGCCGGGGACGGGGATGGCGGCCTTGGAGGAGGAAGGCGAAGAGGAGCAAGAGAAGCTGCTCGTGTGCCAGAGGTGCTACCGGCTGAGGAATTACGGCAGCGTGGAGGACACCCTGAGACCCGGGTTTTCGGACAGTGACCTGCTGACCCCGCAGCGATTTCTGGTGGGTGGTTTCGCTGCTACCGTACCGTAGGTTGAACAAGATGGCGTACCGTAGTTTTCGCTGCTACCGTGCCGTAGTTTTTGCTGCTGCCGTACCGTAGGTTGAACAAGATGGCGTACCCCATGGACCGATTTTTCAACCCTCGATTTCTCGGCTAAAGAGGCGAGGACGTGGGCGGCGTCGGAACCATCTCGTCAAGAGCTTTCTGTAAGCGTGATACTTGATTTGGGCATCCTCTCCGTTCGTGAAGTACTCGAGCTTTGAAATTTCGGTCCAAGGGGTCGTGGTATCTTACACATTCTACGGTAGTTGATCGCTCCTTGTGCTTCGCGAGCAGTAGCCCTTTCGAGATATTTGCTGATGTCGATTTTAGTAGGTAGGGTTTAGGGTTAGGGTTATGAAGTTCCCCTCTCTATTTCATGGATAAATTGTAGTGATTCTCGCGAAGGCGGTCCTCAGGGAGTGGACGGGCCAAAAGACAGGGTGTTTCGCGTGACTCTTGGAACGGCCGGTACTGGTGTTGTTTTTTTCTCGCAGTAAATAACACAACAACAAATTCATTTCATTCCACAGATAAGTCCAGGATGGATTAGCAACGAGTTTCACACAGTAGGTTTATCAGGCACTACTGGGAATATTTTGTTGTTTCATCGCAAAACAACTAAGTGGTATTAATCTCTTTCACAGATAAGTCTGGGATGGATTAGCAATGAGTTTCATACAGCCAGTAGCGTAACCAGACACTCTGACAGCGTTTTTCTGTTTCATTTCAAGAGCACAACAACATTCATCTCCCCACAGGCAAGTCTGGGATAGACTTGCAATGAATTTCTTACAGCAGGGTATGTGACGCTGCGATGTATGTTTTTTTTCTCATTAAGCAAGCACAACAAATTGGTCTCTTCCACAGATGAGTCCGGGATAGACTAGCTACGAATCGATTCATAGCGTTGTGGCACATTACTAAGTGTTTGTTTGTTTGTTTTTGTGCCTGTGTTGCACGAGGCTTGTGTTCTCCCGCGGCTTGTTGGTTAGGGTTTGCATCCTCGCACCTTAACTGTTGTTAGGTGTGCTCTTATGCTAGAATAATTTATTTGTTAACGGTTAGCGATGGAATCGTGAGCGAAACCATGTGCCAGACAAGAGGCTGTGAACCAAAGGCTACCCATGGATGCTTCTTCAAGCACGAGTCCGAAAATCATCTCTGCCGCAGCGCTTAGCTTTTTTTTTTTTCCTTCCGCCACCTCGCTGCTTAGAACGCTGTGCTGCTGCTGCTGACACGCCTGCCGCTGACACTGCTGTTGATGTTTTGTCTGCCGACCGGATACTGCAGGAGCTGCTGGGCAGCATCCGGAAGCAGCGTTGCCTCATCATCTACCTGGTGGACCTCTTCGACTTCCACGGCACCTTCCTGTACAACCTGCCCAAGATCACAGGTAGGCGCGCACGGCGAAGCTTGGCGGCAACGCGATGTCGGTCGCATTCCGCGGAACCCCCCAGCGTTTCCTCGAACACGTACCGTAGGTGACATGACGCAATATACCACACCCCCTTGACCGATTTTCAAAGCTCGAACTACTCCGTGACGAAGAGGATGTATTGATGAAGCTTGCGTATTGTGAAATATCTCGATAAGACGGCTCTATCGCCGCCGTTTTTCGGCACGGGCCACTCTCTCTGCTACGGAGAAATGGAGCGTTGAACATCGGTCCGGGGTGTGCTGTTTCTTGTGTCATCTATGGTATGCGAAACCCCCCAGGAATATGGCGTTGCATTCAAGTATGATGCGTCTGCCAGACAAGTCGGATCAAAATTTGTTGAGCCGGGCTATTTCCCCGTGTGATGGATGTATGTACGTATGCGTCGTTGAGATTTCCCGTACGACAGTTTGGTGAAACCGCCCTGCGTTGCTCTGACGCCGATCACAGCTGCTTGCACCGCCACGCACGCCGGTATCACGAGCAAACAAATATCGTTCCGTCTCTTCTATGGTACGGTTGTGTGTCATGCCTCGCGGCGGAGATCACCGGTGGACCACATCGAGCAGGATGCCTGTCTCTCGACCCAAGACCCTTCTGTTTTCAGCAAAAAATGAAAAACGAAGGACCGACATACTATAAAGCAAACGACGAAATAAGTAGCGAAAGGCACGAACACAAGTAAACGAATGCCACCTTTCGGAGGCCATTCCCACACCACCTGTGGCTGTTATCCACCGCTGTGAGCACCCTCACCCAAGCCTCCGCGAGGCTTGCGAGGGTCTCTGCTGTGGAACCGAACCAAGACAGTAAGACTTACATGTTGTAAGGTTTTAACCGCGCGCCCCTTGTTTCTTCCGCTGGTTGGTGCTATTCTCTCCTGCGTGCGTGCCTCTTTTTTTTTTTCATGCATGTGGCAGGAAACAACCCGGTTCTTGTAGCCGGTAACAAGGTGGATCTCCTGCCGAAGGACCTCAAGAGACAAAGGGTCACCAAGGTGATGACACATACAGACAGCACCGGTACAAGCCATTTGTTGGGGCGGGGGGCTCCTGGTCGTTGCAGCAGGGATGGGAGTCCCCGCGAAGTGGCGGCGGCGGCAGGGGGGGGGGGGGGCGTGCGTGGGTGAAATGGTCATGGGCGCGTGTGTGGTAACTCGATGTTGCGGCGACGCTCTCGGGTCACCGTCGGCTCACTGACTCCTTCCTGTTTTCTAGCCCTTCACCCGTAGTAGCCCTCCACCATGCCGACCGCAACACCAATTTTCCTCTACTGAAAACGAAATCCTTACTCTACGCCCCCAACTTCTGCATTCGAGATCTCGCGGCAGTGGCTGCGCGACAAAATGCGCGCCTCCATGTCCCTCTAAAATCAACACGAATTATTGCCTTCGTTGCATGCTACAAAGCCCAACTCCTACAAGAAATCCCAGACGGCAGTGAGTGCGCGACGCGCGTGCACCTCCATAATACTCCTCCAATATCACGAAATCTTGCCTCCGTTAACAAGAGTTGTTGCCTTCATTTAACACGAATTGTTGCGTTCGTTGTACAGCGCCCAACTTGCGAAATTTATTCCACACGACAGTGGGTAAGTAATTCCACACGACAGTGGGCGCGCGACAAAGTTTGGACCTCCATTTCCCCATAATATCTCGAGATCTTGCCTTCGTTAACACGAATTCTTGCCTCCGTTGTACAACGCTGCACTACTACAAAACGAAACGCCGCACCGCAGTGGGTGCGCGACAAGTGCCGAGAGTCCGGGCTGCCGGATATGGAGATGAGGGACGTCCACCTCGTTAGCTGCAAGCACGGCGTCGGTATCCCGCCGCTGATGCGCAAGGTGCGCTTTCGTTGCAAAGGCCGCTAGGTGCCCGCTGGTAGCCCTGGTGGTGCGTTTTATCGCTGCCTGGTAAATAGTCGATTGTTGTTGTTGTTGTTGTGGTTGTATTCACATTCTGTTTCCGTTCCGACCCCCGCTCAGTACCTTGTAGTATCCCTACTGGTCCAATTGACGCGAAGGAAGCCTTCCGTGGTCACACGACAACAACTACCCAAAGAGGGTTACACCTTTCTAGAACGCAAAACAATTCGTGGTGCACCCAGGAAAAAATCCTCCAAACGCAATAGTGGGGGTATGACATGCACAGCATGAAAGCTGTGGAGGTTGTGGGCCGACCAAGGAAAGCAGGCCGGTGGTTCCTCTGTCTTGTGTTGGTGTCCGTCCCGTGTGGTCATCGATGATGGATAAATGCACACAATATTATACCAGTGTATTTCGAGTGCTTTGTGGTTCTTGTTTTGGGTTCGTGTGAGCTCCCGCCGCTTTGTTGCTGGTATGCATTAGGCCTCCCTCCCTCCCTCTCCTCAGTGCTCCCGTACCGGTTTTGCCCCTGGCCTTACTCGTGCTTGTTTTCACGATATTCTCCACGCATGCGAGAGAACGAGCAATGACAGACGTGCGTAGGCTCGCCCCCCCCCCCCCCCCCCCCCCTGACCCACCCCTTGAATGTTGAAGGGGGACGGGGAA